AAAGAAGGAAGAACCATGAGAAACGGCCCAGAACCCGAGAAATGGTACCCCTTTCTTGCCCGTTGATTCGAGCATTGATGCGACTCTCATCGCTGTGCCCTCTTCAACACTACGCTCTCTCAGCTATCTAATCACTCGCCACGTATTGAACTACGGCGAGTGATCAGATGATCGGTGGGCGGAGATCGCCGGACCCGCCAGCTTTGAGGCATGATAGGTCGCCGAGGTCAAATTTTTCCATGCGAATTGCGCGTCAGTTCGCACCCTCAGGAGGTCCGTGGGTCCCTCAACTAGGTCAGTTTCCCTTTCTTCGACCTTCATTCTAATCGTGAATTCCTCCTTTAAGCAAGTCGTAAAACACGCGTCACTTTCAGTGTGTGTAGCTCCCAAAAAAGGTATTTTTCAGAAGTCCCGCACGCTTTTATATCTGTAGCTATGGTATGAATGCCTGCTTAAGTTAGTTCATTGTATCAGATGCAACATAAGCAAACGAGTGGGGCATTTGTCGGACGAAAACGAGTCAGAATAGGCGCGGAGTTTTACGACAAAACTGGGAATTCTATTTCCATAGTTCTGACAATTGTGAAGATGCAGAAGAGGAATTCTAAGATTTAGACTGGAGACGGAACATTTTTGGGTAGAAGTCGGCAAAATGTTAGCATAATAGTGGTAGTCGGTGGAAGCAATTCCTCCCTAGTTTGGTCTCAGTAGCTCTTGTATGAAACCCAATCAGCGTAACAATGAAAAGAAGTCGTCAGGGATCGAATTGATACGTCATTAGAGCGGAGATGATGTGGTCAGAAGCGCTATCGCACGCGTGGTCTGTGGATCAACTCCCCAGAACCCGTGTGACCGGTCAAACTTATAGAGATGATTAGTTGCTACTAGGAGCGATAGCTACATGCAAATCAAATTGTTCGCTCCACTTAAAATCGTAGTTTGAGCTTCGGCATAGATTCGCCGGGTTGGCATCAGGCGAATTTGCCTTTCACAGAGAGAAATTTGGGAACCTTCCCTCTGGGCACCATTTCGAATATCGCAGACCTTCTCACTTCTTTCCTCTTTTTTTACCATGTTTTTTTTACAACATAGTGTCAGTGTCACCAAATGCGGTTCCCTTCCCTCTCTCCAGATTTCAAATTTTGAAACTGGCAGAGGGTTAGTCTGAACCTTAAAGCGAAGCATTATATTCAGTGTCTAGCGTTCAGGCCGTCTGTAAACTCTGTTGTATCCGGCTATCAATTGCTAGCGACGTATTGAAACATCTCACACTAGAAACTCACCAGAGCAAAGTACGTTCCTTGTCTCCAATTTCAATTTTTTGAAGCTTCAAAGCATTTGTATTCCTACGTAAATCCGCGATACGGTATCACATAGTTTAGGTTCTACAGCAATGTCAAATAACTGGCACCGAGTTTCAATGAATACTATAAGCGCTTGTTGAAGGTGCGCTTAGAATCAGTGTAAGATTTCATTTTTCTCGTAAACCCTTGCAAGGCCTTCTCATTGAGCTCGCCTTATTTAGCCGTTGGATGGAAGAAGTGATGAAAACCTCAGACGCTCCCAAGCCGGATCCGAAACCCGCTGAAAAGGAGTCGGCGCCAACCCCTGCAACACCGATGTTGATGCAGGCAGCTTCTTCAAGATCACGTGAATTGACTGGTGAGTTTCAATCTCTTCATTTCAGCGGCAAGCTAGATGGAGGCAACTTTTTGTATATTTACCGGCCAACTGTAACTGAAGGGCCTTTGGAGATTCATAGGAGCTTCTCGAGAACATTCCTATGGAAAGTTCTACGGTTTCGAAGTAGAAGCTGCAGTGCAACTAGGTCCACTGTCTTGATCTATCACAGACTCCAAACTCTGAAATGAAACCAGTTTTGAAGTGAAGGGCCAAACTGCGGTTCGTCGTTCTTGTATGATCTTCGTATAATGTAGGGCTATACTTCTTTTAACACGTTGGCGACGATGTCGGTCAATGCTGACCGACAGGCAGTCTGTCACATGGGACGATGTCGGTCAATGGTGACCGACAGCTTGAAAGTAAGCAAACTTAGATGGAACCCGCGACTTTTCTATTTCAACGTTTACTTCAGTGTCCTAACTTACTACACTTGTCTGCGAATTATGATCTTTCTAATTCCTGGGAGTTTTATTCTGAATTAGTTATCAGTGGCAGAAACGCGCTGTCAATTGAATCACAACCACAAAGTTCCCACCGTCAGCAAACTGGAAATCTCACTAAAATTGTTCATATCGACCTTTACTAATTAGGTCACCGTCAGTAGAATGTCCATTTCTAGCCTTAGGTTCCCATGATGGTCAAGTAGGCTCAGTCTTACTCATAGGCAGGACAAAAGTACCTATCCAGTCCATCAACTGCCAAATATTTCACAAACAATTTTTTTGACCTTGAATGATTCGTTTAAATCTCTTATTCGATCATGAAGAACAAGATAACAGTCAAACAAAAGCTCATTCCGTCAGGTACGCAAAGTTTTTTGCGTCGTTCTTGAGTGAAAAATTCGTAGAAGATTTCAGATGTGATCAGGATACCAGTACCATCTAAAGGAAAGCTCATATTAATAATAAAAATGAAGAATGCGTGAAATTGCGCCTTCAGAACCTATTCTAACATGAGGTTTGAAAATGCCAGGCGATGTCACTGAAATTTCACCCAGCATTCAGTAGTAACAACTTTTCCTTTGTTTCTAAACGTGTCTGGAGTACTCTAGTCAAAGGCATTTTGTGCATTTCGAGATTTTACAGAGCTAAAATAAGTTTTGCCCTGTTGTTACCGGCGCTTTGCATGCAAAAAACGCCTCGTCCCATGCGCGCGACAAGGAAAAATCGCTCGTCGTCAACGTGTTAAAGAGAGCTGTGGACTATTTGGTTTCCTCGACCGAGTGACCCACAAAAATACGGTCTGAAGAAGACCTTAATGCCGCACTTTTGTCCTCATCCACGTGGTGGTCATGCTGCAAGCAGAAAGAGCTAGCGGCGACCGCTTAAAGAAATCCTTCGCTGAAAAATCATGATTCAGTTTCAGCCATAATTCATTGGCTTGAAACCCATGATAAGAAAAGAAAAAAAATTGCATTTGTTTTGGTAAAAAAAATTCGAAAAACCGAAAGGGCTGCTACGCGTTCAAAGTCACCGCCGGACATCTGTCACAAATGCTGGCGACGGGGATGCTTCCACTTCGGTTCTCGGAGTGCCGTCACTAGAAACTCTTTTCCTGATCTTTTTTGACTTATGTTATTTATTCTATTTATTTATTTATTTATTTATTTATTTATACACTCATATGAGTGCGCCAATAGAGCTGAACTTAGGTGTTCTTAGGGTACGAATAGAGCTAGACAAAAAATCGTCCAAAATCAAGAAACTTGAGCCGAGTCAGCAATGTCAGTCCACTGAATTCACACTAGGTAATAAAGGTAGGGAAAGAATAGACTCCATCTATAGGGATTGAGCCACACACGCTTCAGAACTGAACTGGCGGCCTTCGAGATGACGAAACCATTAAGCCAGTAACCACACCAGTTGGCCATGGTGCCTCATCCAATAAGGAGTCATTGGACAGAGTCGGCACTTCGGCACACGGGTATGCCAACTTCCCTCGTGGAACCGACCTGTCGGGTACCGGCAAGAAGACAAGCAATGAACAGGAAGGCTTGGCACAGATTCAGCACGGAGCAATGAGTGGAGGAGAGAGTGTAATCGTGATTAGTCAGCGGATACAGTAGCAGCGGACCGAAAATCCTAACTCAGCTCGCAAGAGAGCAAAAAAAGAACTAAAACACTGAAGAAAGCAAATAAATGAAGAATGAAGAAAATGGAAAAATGCACAAACATAAGACATAACAGGCAACCAAAATTTGAACAAATAACTTCTTATTGCATTCACATCTCACACTTCTACTGCATCCTATTCTATCGATCGATTTGTCTCTACTCTCCAAAATCGCACGCTTTAACCCGATTCTTTCATTGCGTCGCCTGATACGTAGGCGCCCCAGTGCGGACCATGCCCCGCCTTTGGCTCCGCCCGAATTACCTTCGATTGTCCATAGAATGGATTTTTGTGAGTTTGTTTCTCTTCGGAAACCTTCATGCGTAAAACTTTGTGTATTGCATCTAGTGATCACAACTGATACATTCATGTTGAGAAAGAATGCAAGAATTTTTCGCGAAGGATTTTTTTAAAAGTTAGCTGGTTGAAGAGTAGATTGTCACCGTAATACAGCGTCAGAAGCTAGCCCTTTCATATGTCTTTCTTTCAAGTTTTTTTTAAACTCAAACCTGCTTCATAATCATTTCTTATTCAGACGGAGAGTTCGAAATGGAAATGAAAAATCTGCGCAAGTTATCATCAAGTGTTTCTCCTAAGAAATTCATAGCGATGTACAAAGACAAAATTGCTTCGGTATGGAGTCCCCTTACTTTTATGTCCTTTCTGCAGCAGAGTCCATAAAGTTTTATTGCAGACTAAATGCACTTCATGTAATAGGAAGACACAAGGCCCCATGGAAGTGCTAAGCCACCATGTGTCGAGACTACACTGTGAAAAGGTTAGCATCTATTCGAGTTTTGAGTAGAATCTCTTGATTCACTTTAGTAGTGGAGTTATCCAGATGATGTTCTTTTCTTCAGATTCGACAAAGCGGATATAGAGTCACCACGAGTGATATAAAGTTATGGAAATCACAAATTTCGGCTGTAATGTGACTTTATCATGAAGTATGCTCTCCTATCACTTAACTTGTAATCACTGTAATATTCCTTCTGACCATTCCTCACTTTTGAATTAATCATTC